TGTTGTTCAGAAATGAACAACAGACCTCTTTACTTATTGTTTCCGAGTCTGAAGGGTTCCAAAGATTATTGTATCTGAAATATTTACCCATTTAATGAGTTAATATGCCAGGATCTATTGACTTCTTCAGCTTAATAGTTCTCTTTCTGAGTTGACTTCTCTTGTATTTATTTCCATATTCATAGTGTTAATTACTTGCTCAAAATTTAAAGAGATAGTGGTTTATAAATGTTAATACATATCATATAACTATATTCTAGGTATTTAGATGTTTTTTACTGCCTTCCCTTCTCATACAGGCCAACCCGGTAAGAGATCAAACCTAATTTTGGTTTATTTTTTTCCATTTTTATTAGCTTCCCTCATGCAGGTGAAGACATTGACCAAGTAAGGAATCAAAACCAATTTGTGTTTTTTTTTTCATTTTAACTGCCTTCCCTCCTTATTCAGGTAAAGACACTGACAAGGTAAGAGATGAAAACTAATTTTGGTTTATTTTTTGCGTTTTTACCACTTTCCCTCCTTATACAGGCAATGACACTGACCAGTAAGAGATTAAACCTAATTTTGGTTTATTTTTTCCATTTTCACAACGTTCCCTCCTTATACAGGTAAAGACACCGACCAGGGAAGGGATCAAGTGTTGGCGGCGGCAGCAAACAAGCAGCAGGAGGAAATGAAAAGGAAAGGAAGAGAGAGGGAGGGAACACGCGATAGACCTTCAAGACGGATGGATGGACTGGCGTGAGCGAAAGGAGAGGGGGGAGGGGAGCGCTCGCAAGAAGGCTGTCCTCTCGGCGTCACCTCCTCCCGCAGCACATCTGGGCAGGGAGCAGAGGAGCGCCAGGTGGGAGGAAAGAGAAGCACGTGGCCAGTTTGCGAGCGGGGCCCCTCCTTCACCTCAGCAACAAAGAGGACGAGCCGATAGCAGTAGCAGCCTCACCAGGTGACCCACAAAGGGGGGGGAGAGAGAGAGAAAAGCAGACACCCCGGTGGCACCAAACCCCTGAGGAAGAAGACTGCCAGGCAGGGAGAGGGCACCCCTTCTGGACGCGTGGGCGCTTCGGGGGCAGGTGGGACCCAGCCTTTACAAGGCGGGGAGGAAGCCCCATGCTTGCCAAGTAGGTGCCGCCACTGCTGCTCCCGCTCCAGGTTGGGATGAAATTAGAAGGCAGGCAGATTTTGAGTGGGTGGGCGTGTCGTGTTTGCGGGTGGCCGTGTTGCGCACGTACGCATGTGCACAAGTGTGACATGCCCCTCTACAAGCGCAACATGCCCGCCCATGCCCCTCCGCAAGCACGACACGCCCCCCCTGTGTGCGTGCGGGGGGCGGAGATCCGTGTCCGCAGCCCAGTTAAAGGAAGCCCACGGACCAGTGCAGGGCCACGGACTGGGGGTTAATGACTGCTGCTATAGGGGTCATAAAGCACGCCCAGCCGGTCCTGGGGGGCGGGAATTCGGCCATTATGCTGCTGTGAGTCATATTCATATCCCTGAGATACAAATGCGAATAATTTATTTATTTATTTATTTATTTATTTATTTGATTTATTTGATTTATATCCCGCCCATCTGGTATATTCTACCACTCTGGGCGGCTTACAGAATATCAAAACAATTAGAAAACATAAAAACATTAGCATACAACAATAACAAATAGTGCAGGAATAAATAAATAATAAATAGCAAAGCAAAAGGAATCAGTAGTTGACAGGAGGGAAGGCCTGGATGTACATCCAGGTTTTCAGCTGGCACTTGAAAGTACCCAGCGTAGGGGCCTCGCGAATCTCCGGAGGAAGGTTGTTCCAAAGGCGAGGAGCCACCGCCGAGAAGGCCCGGCTTCGAGTCTTTTCCCTCCGGGCCTCCTTCGGCATCGGGCTCCTCAGCCTCACCTCCTGACTCCCGACTATGTATTAAAAATAATTCAGCATCATCCAAGATGAAAAGCAATTTTGAAAACATTTATTTAAAAGTTTCAAAAAACAAAGTGTTCCATAGAAACATCACTTAAAAACCTACCTGGAATGAAAGATCTTTCCCTGACAATTAAAGGACAAGAGGGAGAGGGCCAATCTGGCTTCTGGGACAGTGAGCTACAAAGCCTGGGAACAGCCTCTCATCCTCACCAAATGAGGACCAATGTGATCCTTCAAATAGCCTGGATCCAAGCCACACAGGGCTTTAGAGACAATAACCAGCAATTTGAATTGAGCCCAGAAACCAACTGGCAGCCTGTGAAGGAAGAAGAAGGAAGAAGAAGAAGAAGAAGAAGAAGAAGAAGAAGAACAAGAAGAACAAGAACAAGAAGAAGAAACCAGCACCAATCAGAAGTATCACTTTAGCATTCTAAACCAACTGAAGTTTCCAAACAATCTTCAATGGCAGCCCCACATGGAGTGTGTTCCAGTAATTCAGATGAGCTGTAACTAAGGCATGTTTCACCATGGCCAAATTAGACATCTCCACCAATAGGTGTAGCTGGCACACCAAGCTTAAATTGTGCAAAAGCATTCCTCACCACCAATGAGACTCATCAGGGGTTGAGTCCAGGAGCACACCCAAGCTGTGAAATTGGCTTTTCAAGGAGAGTGTAATCCCATCCAGTACAGGCTGGATCCCTATTCCCTGTATTGCCTTATCTGGATTAAGTTTCAGTTTGTTAGCCCTCATCTAGTCCATTATTTACTAGAGGCCAGAACAGCTCAATTGCAGTCACATTTCTAATAAGCCAAGAAGTTTATTAGGTAACCTTGCACTATTCATTTCTTTTTACTCTAACCTTCAAGAAAAGAGTTTAACAAGAGAAGGGTGGAAAGATCAGTGTATACTACTTGGAGAACCTACACATGCATTACTATTTTATGTTTATATGTATAAATATACAGTATATACATATGCACCATTGTATATTAAAACAACATCAACTGCAAATTACTTCATAACCACTGTGAAGACTTGTCATGGATAATACAACAGAGACAGTATATAATCCTTATGTAGCGAACAGTACATTCAAGTATACAACCTTCACTTACACACCATATCTGTCTTGCAACTGTCAAGGTAAATACAGATCACAAGTCTATCAAATGAATGTGAGAAGAAAACAGGAATCATTTATAAAGGCAGTAGAAATATTGCAACCTACAGGCCACTGCTTCCCTATCAAGTCTGTTTCTATACCCTATGGGTAGTCAGTCATACAAGTGACAGACTAAGCTTTCCCAGGTGAAAAGTCCTTCCTGAGCAAAACACCGGTCAGCTGCTAAACCTAAAGGTCATTCACTGCAAAAGAAATTTGCAACAGCCAACGTTATAATGCCATTGTACAAAATGCTGGTAAGGCCACACCTGGAGTATCACGTACAGTTCTGGTCACCTCAAAAAAGACATAGCGGAACTGGAAAAGGGACAAAAGAGAGTGATTAAAATGATGACTGGACTGAGGCACCTCCCTTATTAGGAAAGGCTACAGTGTTTGGGGCTCTTTAGTTTAGAGAAAAGGCACCTGAGGGGAAACATGATTGAGACATATAAATTATGTAGGGGATGGATAAAGTAGATAGAGGGAAGCTCTTTTCCCTCTCACGCAATACCACAAGCAGGGACATCCACTCCAATTGAGTGTTGGGAGAGTGAGAACAGACAAAAGAAAATCTTTACCAAGCGTGTCATTAGTCTATGGAACTCCTTGCCCCCGGATGTGGGGATGGATCTGGCCTAGACACCTTTAAAAGGGGACTGGATAGATTCCTGGAGGAAAAGTCCATCACAGGTGACAAGCCATGATGGGGATGTATAACCTCCAGGCTTAAAAGGAAGGTACTTCAAAATAGCAGATGCAGGGGAGGGGTGTCAGGAGACAGGTCTCTAGTTGTTTCATGTGCCTCCAGAAGCATCTGGTGGGGCCACTGTGAGATACAGGAAGCTGGACTAGATGGGCCCTTGGCCTGATCCAGCAGGGCTCTTCTTTTATGTTCTCATGTTATGTAAATTTATGAAATTTAATTGGCCCACATTGTCCACACTCCATATACAGTCTGAAACAGGTGTGCTGACCACAGGTTTCCCCTTCTAGCAACAGAAATTCTAGAAAGAATCAAGCTATTAAAAATCAAATAAACAGTGGTTATCTATAACCTCTCCTTGGACAAAGAAAGGAAAAGAGTAAGGTTCTCCGTATCAGGTGCCAAAACCTCTTGTCCTCAAAGAAAATCACAAGTTACCCTAGTTTGCAGACTTTAAAATAAGGCTGATGATGCAATTTGTGTCCTTACAAACCATCACCTCTGATCTAGATGGGCTGGGTAGAAATACAATAAAATAAATAAAATAAAATAAAGAGACTACATGTGGGCAAAAGAGAATTGCTCCCCCTGAAAATCTGTTCTTGAAAACTATGAACCAGTTTTCTTAAAAGTGATGAGGAGAAGCTTTTACTGTTAAAGGAGGACTGAATGTGACCACCTGGGAAGTTTTGGGAGGGGGGGAAGCTTAACATTTTAATCTGTTATTATTTGTTAGCCTTTTAATTCCATGTGCACCTATTCGTTTATCTTTATTTATTTGAAATATTCCCATCCCGCCTTTCTCCTTAAAAAGGACCCTCTCGTGGGTGTAAACCGCCCAGAACAGTGCAGGGCACTAATGAGGCGATATACAAGTTCAATGAATAAATAAACGAAGAAACACGCATCGTTTTTTACAAGAAGCAGGTTCAAACGACCAGAGGCACCCGTCGCTGCCCCCTTCCCCAAAGGCCAGGGGGCCAGTCTTCCCCCCCGCCCTGCCCTGGAGGGCCCTGGAGGCGGGGAGGGAGAGTCTCTCGGGCCGGGGCTGAGAGGAGGGTCAGCGAGATATACAGCGATATAAACAGGCCGGTCAGGTTTGCACCTCCCTCCCACACACACACACACACACGGACATGAGGGGAAAGAAGAAACGGGGCCAGCCATCCCTCCCCCCGAAAGGGAGCCCGAGGTTCTCGGCCGGCTACGCACCGTGTACTCCCGCACTTGGCTGTGGAAGTTCTGCTCGCGAATGGTCACCTCGTCCGCCTCCATCCTTCCCTAGCCGCCGTCGCCGCCGCCTCGCAGCCCCCTCGGCAATGGCGGCCGCCCCAAGTCCTCCCGCTTCTGAGGCGACGGACGGGGGACCATGGCCGGGGGGGAGGGGGAGGGGGAGGCAGCGCCCGAGGCTCGCGACCCTTCCCTCAGGCCGGAGAAAGGGGGAGGGGGGCTTAGAAGGACGACCTGACGGCAGGAACAACAACAACAACAGAGCAGCAGCAGCTGCTGCGCCCGCCTTCCCGCGTTGACGCTTTCCCCCCCCCCCCCCCCTCGCGGGGGGGGATCTGGCACACCGCCTTTGCGGCTGAGGGGGCAGGACCCGCCAGGCTCAGGCTCCCTGAGGGGGGGCGGGGCCTCCGTCAAGGAGACGCTGCGCCTGCGCCAACACAAACAAGGGGGAGGGGCACGCTCCGAGGAGGGAGGGAGGGGCCTACGAGGCTATTAAAAATAAAGGGGTGGGGCTTTTAAAAAAAAGGGAGTTGGGGGCGTGGCTTACCACCACCTTCTTGACAGGACCAAGGAGAAATAATGGGCGGGGGGAGAAGAAGTGGGAGGGTTTGGAGGCGGGACTCGCGAAGAGGTGAGGGCGGAGCTGCACGGCCGTTCCAACTTAAGGAAGGGGGACGGGCTCTCGGGCGGAGGCGTGGCCAGAGATGCAAAGCAGGCACGCGGAGGTCAGGCTTAGAGGGAAAAGGCGGGGTCATGAAGGGGAAGGTACGCGTGCAATTAGCAGGTGGTGTCTTAATGTCAGGTTCCTAGTAAGGACGGGGGAGGAATTCTGATTTCAGTTTTATTTTCAGCGTGGAGAACGTATGTGCGAACAGTGTGTACTTATATTCTTACTGACACATGTTCCTGCAAACATTGCTGAGGCACTTGGTTGGCTTCTAAGGAAAAAAAAGTATTAACAGTACAGTAGTGGATTTTTATTTCATTTTGTGCTACCTCATCATAGGGTTTTCACGGTAAGAAAGATTTAGCAATGGCTTACCATTGCCGCCTTTTGCACAATATTGAAAATGCCCATCATAGGGTTTTCAAGGTAAGAAAGGTTTAGCAATAGCTTACCATTGCCGCCTTTTGCACAGTATTGAAAATGCTTCTGGCCAGCATCATCTTCAGCGATCACTGCTGCCCGGTAACTGCCCTCCAGAAGATTCAATGGGAGCTATTCATCCTCTTCTGCTGATGCAGCCTTTACTCCTGGAGAGGAGGGATCCAACTGAGTTGTCAAATACAGCAGAGTTTGCTCTGCTTATAAAGCAGGTGCATTTGAAGTATTTTTTACAGTTTACATGGTGCAAACACACACAACATACACACAGAAGCTACTAAAGTTCTGGGGAAAAATTCTATAGAAAAATAACATGGAAAGGTACTTCACAGTCTCGGAATACAATCAAAAGGTTGAACACTAATTTTGCAAAACATATCATTATTCACAACTCAGAATGATTCCATGCTTCCCACCATGCATCTGTTACTCCTTTCCCCTACTTTCCAGTAATACATGCAGAAATTACTGATCTCTGGTGGAATACATTTTTAACTTAGTCTAAAACCTCCTGTTCTGTCTGCCCCTCTGTGGGTAGTAGAGGAATGCTGGATTGTTTGTTTGGTGACATATCACTGCATTCACTTGCCAGCAAAGTAAAGCAGCACTAGATTGTAAAGGAACAAGGAAAAAAATAGATCCCTTTCCCTCTTCTGACTCCCCTCCTCCTTTTCTGTGTCCCCCCCACCATAGAGTGTTGGGGGAAACTGAATTTTATTTTGTATTTTATTTATTGTTGAGTGACATATCACTTTATTGGCTTGCCAGCAAAGTGAAACACCATTGGATTGTAAAGAGAGAGAAAAGGGGGGATTGCCTTCCACATCCTTTCTTTACAGCCCCTCTGCAGGAAGCAGGGGAAAGCTGGATTTTATTTTTATGCTCCGAATTTCTCAGTATGTGACACCACTGCACTGACTTGCTGCCCAAGTGACATAGCACTGAATTGTTGGGGAAAACACCAGTATTGCTTTAGTTCAATAATGGTGATGCCAGATTAGATTAGATTAGGCATCCTTCAATTTTGAGAGACGATGGTAACATGCTCTTGGAACAGCATCTAGTGTGGCTGAGAAGGCCAATTCGAGAGTGACAATCCCTTCCACACTGAAGACAAATCCAATCTGTCCCCTGTCCAGCTCCCTGATTTTGCTGCTTTTAGGATGGCCAATTTTGCCTCGGCCTGCTGGACAAGGGTCTCTTCAAAATGGGAGAAGCCATGATGCACCGCCTGCCTCCAGGCTGAATGCTCAGATGTCAGGTTTTCCCATCTGTTAAGGTCCATTTCCAAGCCCTTCGGATCCCGTTTGCAGATATCCTTGTATCGCTGCTGTGGTCTCTCTCTCTGGGGCGATTTCCCTGCACTCAATTCTCCATACAAGAGATCTAGTGATGCCAGAGGCTGAACTAAAACAGACCAATCTTACCTGTGCTAAAAAACAAAACAAAAGCACAGCAGCCTATGCTAGAGACCCAAAAAGGTGTGGGTAGGCATTGTTAAGGGTAGAGCTGGTTCATGATTGCCTATACATCTTGTGATCGCCGGGAAATGGAGCAAACCAACTATTCCCAAAATGACCCAAAAGATAAGACAAAGTGTCATCTGACTGAACCCTGGGTCAAACAGTTCAAGCCTCAGACACTTCCCACTTGGGCTACCATACTGTTCCTATTTGCTTTGGCTTTGATTTTGAACTCCTGAGGAACCATTCAGCATGATTATTAATGATGGAATCTCACAATTGGTCTGTGATGATTTTTACATTTAGCAAGTGGATGGCACTTATTCCTATTTAGCTGTACATTTGTAGCATCATTACTTACTGGATGAGACTGTAAGTACCGACATCATTTTCATTATGCATCATCAGCTTTTTGATAAATTTTATATCCCTTGTTGAGGACTAACGTATTATTTGAAAGAGTTCATTTAGCTGATATTCATCACAACAGTACCGTTTCCACATATGAATAAAATTAATGTGATGGTGAAACTCTCAAAAGCTAATGTTCCAAGCAGTGATTAGAATTGTTTTTAGTGTAACAATTCATTGTCTGAATATATTTCCATTTTTTTTTAAATTGAGCCTTTTAATCCATCTTTACTCATTGGTATCAAACTTCCAACCTCTGATTGCCGAGCAATATCTAACAGTTCACATTATTTATTCTTTATTATATTGATATTCTGCCTTTTTGCTACTACAGCCACAAACATTCTAGGGAGCTAACAGTAATTAAATACAAATAATAGCCAAATGCAGTTAAACATAAGAAATACAGTACACCCTCATTATGTGCGATCAGTATCTGTGGATTCACTTATCCACTGCCCAAAAATATTTTAAAAGCTCCAGAAAATTATGCATCAAGATAGCTAGATCTGGCAGGTACAGGAATTACTGTTTTTCTTAGGTCAAGAGTGGAAAGTCTTCACATTTATTATCATACTTGTATACAACTGCCTTTGAAAATGAAGGCCGATTTTCCATCAACCATAGTTACCATGACACAAGTACTGTAACATAATAAAAGTTGAGATTTATCAGACTTTTTATGAAGGAGAATGGCGATTGTCATGGGTTTTCTTGACTTCCACTGCATGACTTGATTCTTTTGTCCTTCATCAATAACATTCACAAAAGAAATCTATTATGATATAAATCTGAGACAATGGCCTTTTGAAAGTGCAAAGAGGGGGATGATCTTAGGAAGTCTAGTCACTGTGAATTACTGGGAAGATCTCTTGAAAACACTTGACCAATAATTTATGAGCTTGGGGTATTTCTTGACATATTTTTTAATGTGGAAGTATGGATTTTTTTTCAGAGTGAGTGAGCCATTCTGGGAAATGCTCATCTTGAATCACTCTCATTTCTGTGTTTCTGGACGTCTTCTGTTCTGCTTAACGTTCATGGAAGCTGAAAGTTTGTACAGGTTTTGTTTTACAATGACTATTGTAATCCCAAACAGCACTGTTTCCAAGGCCAAGCTTGCCAGACAACTTCTCAGCCAGATGGTCAGACAATATGGGAGAGCGGAGGATTTGTTATCTGGATTACCAAGGGAGGGGTGGGCCAGGCTGCCTTGTGCAAAATATAGGCTATGAGTCAATGCAGCACCCCTCCTGATTGGCTCAGGTGTACCTAAATCAGTATTTCCAAACCTTTTTTTTGAGTGGCAACCCCCTTTTATAATAGCCAAGTCACCTGAGACCTCCCCCCACCTGCATAAAAAGGTGTATTTATTTTGTTTATTTATTTAAAATATTTTTATCTTGCTTTTCTCCTTTAAAAAAAGGACCCAAGGCGACTTACATCATTAAAAGCACAATATTAAAACAGTAAATTATTGAAATATTTTTTAAAATAAATAAATATATTAAAGTTAGGTAAAAGCATTTCTAAAACAGATTTAAAAGCAGAAAAAAATACAAGTCATCTTATTTTAAAGCCTGTCTTAGACAGCAAGTCACTAAGGAAAAGCCTGCTTGAAATAAGATCAGAACTGTCAATCTAGTCACGTTTTTTTATATGGAAGGTGAGATGTTCTTTGCCAGGGTCTACAAAATATTTGGGGTTTTGGAAGAGGTGGCCATTGTTAGTCTGTGCGAGTATATCAGGCATAATCCAAAGAAACAAAACAAAGACAAAAACAGGTGGCACCTTAAAGACTATTATGCTTTAATGTGAGCTTTCATGGACACGTCCATTTTGTCAGACATGTGGAAAGAGAATGGAATATTGAATGAAGTACAGTTTCATACTAAATATTAATTGGCTATTGGGTGTAGGGTACATTTACATGCAGTAATTTGGCTTATTGATGGCTCTGTTGTAAAGAATTCCTCGGGAGACAGAAAACAGACACCAAGCCTGGGCAGAGAGGAGAGGGGAGGAGAGGAGAGGAGAGGGGAGAGAGGACAGAATGGAGGGGTGGGTTGAGCAGAGAGGAGTCACTTAAAACGAGAGAGAAAGAGAGAGGGAGAGAGAGAGAGAGAGAGAGAGAATATATTAAATATTTGGGGTTGGCCCTAAAAAAATGAACAGCACTGTTAAACTGCCAATCTAATTTCTGAATAGTTCTGCCCAAAGCAACTAAAAGACTATATTTAGCTCACATATTTACACAGTTGACTGCATGGCAGTCTGGTTGCATAGAAACCCAAGGACTTTTAGATAGTATCCGAAAGGATGGAGCAAGCATGATA